GGGGGGGCAGACAGAGACAATAAGAGTGTGTTCCGGACCTACGCCCTCCCTCCCGTCTGGCTCCCTTCGACTCGCCACACGCCTACGACTTCTTCTCTTCGCTTCCACCGCACACAATTTGCGGCGGCTGCTGTGACGGACCGACCGACAAAACCCACCCGCCTGCTCCTTTTTTGTTCACGTAGAGATCTTACGACTCTTCAAAATGTATTGTTTTGCCACCAAACACGCACGCGCGCGCGCTAACTCCTCGTGCGAGCAAAGCGCCTGCCGGTTAGGCAACACGTCCGTTCCTCTCGCACGGGTGCGTCCCACTTGCCTATCCGCCGGGCTGCTGCTGCTGCTGCTGCATCAGCCACTCCCTGCTGTCGCAGCGCGCTGCGGGAGCAATTATGTGTGCTGCTTGGCCGGGGACAGCTGGCTGCGTTCTGAGCGTTGGTTATGAACTCGTCAAAGAGTCCTCTGTCTTATGTATCTCTACTCTCTCTCTCTCCCCCCTCTCTCTCCCTCTTTCTTTTTCTCTATAACTCCTTTTCTCTCTTTTTCTCACTGTATTACTACTCGGCCTGGCTGGCAGCCGAAACATCTCGTCGGGATGCGGGGAGTGCTGCACCATGAGCCAGCGTGCTGCTTAGCTTCCACCCTACACGGCCCCAAGTTGCGACGACAGGGCTTGTCCGGGTAGGAGGAGGAGCATTGGGGGTATGAGGGGGTGGGGGTGTTCTGGCTGCTGTACTGGATGCCGTCAATTACGCCGTTCATACCTCGTTCGCCTGGCCGAATAAGGGGTCCGAAAGGACAGGAAAGTGAGTGGGGGAAGGAGGAGGCGGGGGGAGGGGGAGGGCTGCGACTGAAAAGGAAAGGCAGAGGGGCCGAGCTCGACGGCGTAATGCAATCCAACACAACAGAGTGAGGAAGACACAGGGAGCGATAGAGAGAGAGAGAGAGACAGAGAAAGGCCAGGAAATTAACTTGTGATCGGTTGATGAGGTGCCGGGCCGGGCCCTGGCATGGTCGGGCTGCTCGTGCTGCCGTAGTCTCGCTCCGTAGAGGGACGCCTTGGCTGCTGCTGCTACGGCCCATCAGCAGCGGCGAGGAAACGTTCATTATTTGTCGCTCAGATATTATTTCAGGTTCAGGACTGCCCTGTCTGTTTTCTTCTGTGGATCTGTCTCTTTGTCTCACTGGCTGTCTCCCTGTCTCCATCCTCCTCATGACTCCGTCCCTCTGTCTCCGTCCCTCTCTGTCTCTGTCTCTCGGTTTCTGTCTCTCTGTCCCCGTCTCTTTGTCTCTCTCTCTCTGCCACCACCTCCACGTCGGCGTCTCTCCGATGCCTAAATGGGTGTGTCGCGGCGCGGCTGCGCATTACCATTTAAATGGTTCGCGCGCTGCTGCTCACTGACACGAGCGGCTCAGGTGCGCTCAGGTGACTAACGGGCGTCGCGAGCTGATGCGGAGGGAGCGAGAACGCAACGCACTTTCGCGCCTCTCTTTCTCGTTCGCAACGACCCTGCTGCTGCGGGGGCTACAGGCTACACCGCCGTGCTATACTCGCGGTAGCTCCGTGCGCACGACCGCTCGCGTTTGCCGAGGAGAGTGACTGATTGAGTTCATTTTAAACTTTCCCGCGCCCTGTTTTCTGTTTACCCAGGCTCTCCGATGGTGTTTGTCTCGCTCTGGGCGGTCGCCAGGTGCCTCTCTCCGCCGCCGACTCTGGTAAGGACAAAAGTTTTCTTTTTCATTCGCAAACGTTTTTTGTGTTTTATTTGGAAAAGACTAATAAAACAGAGTAATGGTAGAGAAAGTCAGTGTTTCACCATTTGCAAGTAAGGCAAAATCCTTGACCCACACGCCCCCCCCCCCCAAAAAAAAGAATAAATCTCAAACCAAATGTTTGAGCTGCCCTATAGCTGTAGGCGTGCGTTTCTGCCCGGCGGAACTTATGTTAGGAGTTGAAGACGCGATGAAATTTAATCCAAGACCCCCGTTGGGGCCCGGCCCGGCCTGGCCGCGGGGCCGCAGCAGTGCAGCATGGGAGAAGGGGGGAGGAGGGGTCCCCACCAGTCCCCGGCACCAGCAGAGGCTTCCCTCCCCCTCCCCCTCCCATTTTCTTCTGCCCCCCTCGCGCCCCTCTTATCCTCCTCCGGCCTTCTTCTGCGTCGGAAGCAGGAAGCAGCCAGGCCCCCCGAGCAAACAGCATTAAAACAGAATAACCGTGAATTTACTCCAAGATGAAAACGCGTAATAATGAATTCAAAGTCCCGTGATGATGTCCATTACTATGCCCGGTGCCGCCGCGGGTCTCGTGCGCCGAATTATGTCGGCCAGTAACGCGCCGAGACTTTACCCAGCCCGTTTACTTCCCGCCTTACGGGCCCGGAGCGCGGTGAACCGCCCCCTACGGGAGCGCAGCCGCAGCCTCCCCCTCCCCCCCTCCTCCTTCCCGCTTCCTCCTGTTCGAATATGCTCTGTCCGACGAACAACGTCCGCCGCTCCCTGCTCCGAAACTTTCAGGCCAAAGCAGCCCGCTCCCGCTCGCCTGCTCTTCGCATGTGGCGCCGGTGCCAGACCCCCGGCGCATAGAAGCATAGTCATACTCTACCACACGCGAGCTGCTCCGGCTTCAGCGAGCAGGGAAAGTCGATGCCGTTCCCATAATTATTAATAGATTCCCCCGTCCGATCGCCCCCTTTAGCAGCGCTACATGTGTGCCCCCGTTCACCCTGTACTGCACCTCGTCGCGTGACTAACTGATTGACGTAAACGTTTTCTTTCTTGTATTGTCACAATAATAATAATTGCTCGCATGATCAATTCAATGCTGACCGACCAGTTAATTGGTTATTTTCCAATTCAACTACTTGCACCATATGGCGTTGAAGACGACCATGTGCATGCTAGCTGCACACTTTCATTATCAGTGTCTGGGCTTTTGCTGAGCAAAGAATTCAAACAAATTAGAAATGCAATCTGACATCGTATAAAAATGAAAGTTTTCATTTTTTGTAAGCGTACTAGTCTCATTACTGTTTTTTACACCTGGATTGACATAAAGAAAAGTTTTACCGATCAATCATTTTAGCGCCCTGCTGTTTTTCCTCGAACAAGCGCCATATAACGTTTGCAGGAGCTGCCGAGGCGAGGGCAGACGTGGGCGTGTGGGCGCGGGTCTGCCCGTCGATGCGGGTGCGGGTCGGGCGGGCGGGCGCGCCCAGCGCAGAGCCAACGGCAGCCAACGTGCTCGTTAGTCGAGTTTGAAGTTCAACCGGCTGGTCCGGACTGTGGGTGGGAAATACCCGGGAATACCCCCCACCCAGCAGAGCAGAGGTTCTCGGTGGCTCCTTTTCTCAATTTTGCTCGTAAGCCGTTTCCTACTAAGGCGGGGAGCAGGGAGCCGAGTCGTGACGAGTCGTGACGACGCATGCAGATGGTCCCCCGGGGCTCCACGACGTGAGCCTGCATGTCGTTGCACCTCGTGCTCAAGGTGCATAGCGGTGCGACCTGCCGCGGGAACCTGCGCTGCGGGGACCTGCGCTGCGGGGACCAACGGGACCACCGGGCACGTTGGCCACGCCCAACGGGGCGTCACTTCACTACTTGGCAACCGCATGGTAATAAGAAAGTGTCTTGTATTTTAAGACCCGCGGTCTTGGATACCATTTAATTTGCGTTCTCCATAAGATCCAAGACCGGGTCTTGAAATACAAGACACTTGTTTTACCGTACGTCGGTCTTCAAAGCCCTCTGCGACGTGGCGTGGCGTAGGCTAGGCGTAGTCGTGTGACATTAATATTGCTGGGAGGCAGTCTACTTGCCGACGATTTCGAGTTAGATGCGGTCTTCCACTATACTTCTTTCTCTATCTACTTCGCTCTGCGTTGGAAACTCAGGTGGAAGGCAATAACACCTACGGGTGTGAGGCAAAACACATCTCAAACACTTGTCGCTCTATCTGTTGGTGCAGCCGCCTCGTAACTTTAACTTTCGAACTCAATGGATCTGCGACACCCCTTGTTTCCGAACAGTGTACCCACACCGGCCACACTGGGGACATTTGGCCCCGTCACATCATCTTGCCCCCCC